CATCTAGTGTCATGAAAAAGAAGTTAGATCGCATAGAAAAGGACAGGGCGACATCTGCAGTGAAAGTCGTGTTTAAAAAGTTGTTGTCCACGACCTCTTGACGTAAAAGTAATAAAATTCGTCGAGCGCATATTAAGTAAGAGTAACGTCGTTCTTTATTTCAACGGAGCTCTCGGCAATGGCACGTAACTCAAATAATTGCCGATGCATGGCACTAATATTTCTCATTATTCAGGTCATTTCTTCCGAAACCGGCATCTAGTAGAGAATTGCTTTAATCAATTCAATTAGAAGACTGAAACTAAAATGTCGACACAAATTTTAGATCTGGATAAGAATTCTTAAAATAAATTGTTAGAAGAAAAGTAGGAACGTGTTAAAATTCACAATGGTTTGGAACAAATGAACCGAGTCCTTACTGGAACGAGACAATTTTTTTATTGGATTGGAAAGAAGGAAGGCTAATCAAGATGGTCACATATTAAGTTTGCGAATGAGATATAATATTCTATCTCCTGTAGAATTTTCACTGTACGAAATATTTTTTTAATTATTTGTTTTTTGAGAGCAAATTCCACACGTTCACGTCATTGCACACGATAGCATGATACGAATTAAAAGAAATTAAGGAACATCAAAAAACACAGCGTGGTTGGTATAAGAAGAGTGTCCGAATAGAGAATAGATACTTTGAAGTAGTCTAATTTTTATTGTATGTACGCGGCAATTCCAGAAGTACCGAGCGACCCTCTCGCGTTTAAGCTGGCTTTAAACAAAACTTTGGCTTTATTCATTCTAATCGTGCACCAGTTAGACAAAAATATATCTGTCTCACTGACTACAGTGAATTTGATCATGTTCTCTTTCGGTAGGCCTTCTTTATTTACGGATTTTTAATTCACGGAGAGACATTTTTTTAACTATAATAGTTATACTGTACTAAATTGTATGACTTCCTTCGTAAGATTGAAAAAGTGGTGTAAAATGACGAGTCATTAAAATTCTCAATCAGACTTCTCTCTGCATTGAGGTCTATTAGCATGTACTTGAGTATCGTAAGCTGACGTACGCATTTGCGCCCATTACAAAATTAAACCGATTGAAATCAGAATTTATATGTAAGATAAGCTATTTTAAGATTGTCTAGGTTTGGAACGCTGTTTCTATAGAAAAACAGAGAATCAGAGAGTTTTAAGTATTCTTAAGGCCACCCATTCAAATTTCGGGCAAAAGTTGAGAATTTTCCCACAAAAAGTATCCACTGAACTCAAAGGCCATTCAGTTTGTTTTTCGTGTTCCGACGGATTTTTATAAACACAGCATCATTATTCCGCCTCTGTAAACACAAATTTTAAATTTCATACAGAAAAGTTGCTCAGCGTAATCGTTTGAAACGGGGTGAGGTCGTATAATTTATTCTATTCCCTCGCTACTGGATTCCGCGGAGTGTACTGTTCCCGGGATATTGAAGAACTCGCATAGCCGTCTTAAGCCATTGTCTTCCCGGGGAAATGATACACCTCTACGGTAAATTGTATTTTTAGTCCTAGTGCACCGGTTTTCGTGCACATTTTAGAGCAGTGATATTAGTGTTGCCCAACGCAAGAACAAGACGAGACTTAGCCAGTCTTGGTCTTGGTCTTGCGCCAATACACCTGTTGGTTTGGTTTGGTTTGGTGTTTGGTTTGGTTTGTTTGAGCAAGAGTCTTGCAAGTTTGATTACCTATTAGTTATTACTATTTATTAAAGTTTATTTAAATCCTAGAAAAACGTATAGAATTGAAATTGTGAGCTTGAATGAATATAGCCATAGTAAAGATAAGCAGATTAATAAATAACTGAAATTTGATAAGAAATTCGAAAAATCAACTGACCTATATGTTTTTCCATGCAAGTAACTTTTCTTAATAAACATTTATGATTTATAAGCTTACATTTGCTAAAACATGTAAAAAAACAAATTAATTACAATAACTTGACTGTATTTTAAAGAACAATACTTATCTGTCTAAAAAGAATTGAACCCTCAACTTCAATCAAATATTCAATTTATTTCGGTGGGGAGATTGTTTTAGATTTCAAAAGAAGCCGCGGGGTGTATCATAAGTATTCCGAAAGGGCAAATTTTTTGAGAACCTTTGATGCCGATTATCAAGGCGATGGTAAAACAAACTATTTTATTTAATAATCTTTTATGTATGTTATGGTATGTGTAGGTTTTTCATATTTTGAAGTTTGTTAAGAATCTAGCGTAACCTACACCGAACTTTACACCTAACTACTCAGTGAAATAGGTAGTCCTAGCTGAAGACGCAGAGTCTTGAGGCTATGTTTGTCAATTTGAGAGTTGGTTGGTCTTGCTAAAAATACGGGTTTGTTTGGTTTGGTTTGCAAAAACGAAGAAAAGACCAAGACTGAAGACCAGATGATGGAAATAGTGATATTTATATTGTGCCTTTTGACCCGAAGCTATCCCGAGGAATCGCTTTCGTATACGTCCAGTTTAAAATGGATTAGCAATTCGCCACTCTAAGTATTCATAAGACAACGAGGTACTAGTGTAAAATGTGTTAAAAAATAGTTTCTAGCAAAAACAAAGGTATTCTGAAAATACAAGGTGTTTAAGTAATAAAAAATACACATTTCTTTGCTTTAAAAAGCTCGTGAAATATAAAATCTGGTACAGTTCACATAAAATAGAGTTTTATGAGACGAGCCATTACGGTCGTTCGAGTTCATCGTAATGTAATATTGCTTTAGTTTATCTAAGATATCGGAAGAATTCTCCCGGGCGTCGGTGCAGCTTATATTGACTTATGTTCACCCGGTGCTCATGTTTTGGGGGCGTTTGACGATTTTAGTGGATAGCAAAGCGCTTTTTAATAGTTCTCCGAGACTAGTCATATTTTGCAGGCAAAGCTCTCCTAAACAAATCGCGCACACACGTAGAGCCTAACCTGCGCGTCTGTCGACGGCGTAGCCTAGATACAAATCTCTCCCCGGCACATTCTCCGATCGGCGCGACTACGATATTATTAGCATATTCATAGCCTGTTCCGATTGTGATATCACCGTGTGAACTAAAATTGCTTTGTTACGAACCCTCTCTCAAATATTTAGGAAAATGTGGTCAAATGTAGAGTGCAAAGATCCTCTATGGGCTATCTATCGAGATAGTTTACGCGAACGAGACTCACCGCGATCCATCGTAAGGAGGTATTCGGAACTTTCAATTTTGAGCTATATCAGCGAACACATAGGGAGTACGATCGTTCGAACTCGTGTGCGAAGTTAGAAGGGCTCTGTCGAGCAGTTAAACGGTTGCGTGCTCCACGGCGTGGTAACCTTAGAACTGAATAAGTAAATGCCCGAATAAATCAAGTTAATTGCGTCGGAGCACCTCCTCGTCTGAACGGGCAGTTCCCGGGTTCAGTTTTAAGGCGACATTGACTATTATTTTGATTTTAACTAAACCGTTCCGCGTTCCCCTTTAATACACAAGAAAACCAACGCACGGAACGCTGACGATGCCGGTTGAGGTCCTGCCCGAGTCGAATTTTTTTTTTAAATTAATTTTCGATTTAGAAATATTTATAATCTAATTCTTTCTAATAATTCCCTTCTGTCGTAGGTTCGATTAATTTAAATTAGTGTAGAACATAGGACATACCTAATAGGTCGGCGCTCCTTTGTAAAACAAGTTGTGTTTGCTTTTAATTGTTACTTTAAAATTATGTTGTATCTAAATAAATAATTAGAGGTCGTTGCAGTAATCGTTCTCGACTAGCGTTCATTTGTTACGCCATAATTCGCACTCGCTTTAGTTTGATCAAAAAGCACAAACAACATGGTCTAACATCTAATTTGAGCGTTCCGAAGCGACCCGAAATTCGTAAAGTTTAAAGTTGAAAACTAATAATGCTACTAGTTACGGAGCTGGAAACAAAAAGTGTTCGGCCCTCCTTGACTCTTGACTCTCGCAATTTGCCGAGCGAGAGAATCGCTAACAATTCTATTTATGGGCACGGACGAAGTGCGCTTCGTGGCATATTCATGGCAGAACCAAAGAGTTGCACGCAAAAGACCGTTCTTACGAATGTAAAGAATGCATACGAATCACAATTCGAAATTCATGTGATCGCTTTTGTGATGTGTTTCCCTAAGGTCCGACGTGCGGAGTACTTTTTCTTTCTCTCATATTCACTTTGCTTTTAATACGTCAGCCGAGAGATTCGAAGTTATTTCGTTACGACCGTTCTTTTTTCTGCTGTTCAATTATTCTTGCTGCTGCAAAATCATGGTTTGTATTAAGGCCGCCTGCTCGGTCGCAGACGCGCTACGGCAATGCCGTGGACTGAACGCTAGTTAAAATATATTTCCTTATTACTTTCTATCAGCATAGATTAAAGATATCTGATCAAAGAAAAAAAAATTAGTAGTGCGAATGAGTTATAATTACACAAAATCATAATATTATTAACTCTTAAATGTAAAAGTTGCCTCTGTCCCGCTTCAAACGACGCGGGACGCTAAAGACTGTATGAAATGAGCACAAACTTTAGTTGACCCTTATTAAATATACTACAAAAGTCGTCCCGTTGCGGCAATAATGACGATTCCGTCGCTCCTTGAAAATAAATATTGGCGTCGGGTCGGTTTTAAAATGAACAATAATCACGAACGTGAGTTCGTTGCCGCTTAATTTGGCGGTTTCCATGCCGGTGGGTAATTAAACGATTGTTTGCCATTTTGTTGTAATTAATGTCGGCGAGTTTGATTTGCGCTAATTATCTTTCACATATTAAACATTCATTCGGTCCTATGCCGTACGATCGGGCTATAATTTGATTTTTAGAATTTACCGTTAGATAATTACGCGCTGCAAATTGGGGCTAAGCCGGTTTCGTCATAATATTTCAGCTGTCGCAATTAATCGTTATTATTTGTCTGCGTGTCGGAATGTTAATAAACGAAGTAGAGATTTCCCAAATAAGAAATAAATGCTCGTCTCTAGCGGTTCGATTCTGCGGACGCAGCCAAAGTTGACGAAGCGCCGCCCGCGCCTCGCTCCGGGTCCCGCCAGAGTCGACTCAATAATAAGCGGAGCCGCGAAATCGCTTCGAGCGAAACGAGGCCCCGGGGAGGAGTCGGATCGGCCTCCTTTTGCTTTCTTCGACTCGGACGGTCTCGCGCAGCCGACTTGTCCGGATTACAACGGACTTACGCTCTTATGGCTAAACGAAAAACTTTAGCCGTTAAAGTGTTTCCGTATTTTTTGTCGAGTTGAAAACGTTAGCTTAAAGAGCTGAGCTAGTTTTGAACAATGCGGAGCCGACGTACTATTTCTGTTTGATGCGGGATTCACTTTCGTCTCCGCGCTCGCGGGACCACTGCCGTATTCGTTATTACGTTTCGACAACGACATTCGAATGTAGTCACAGACAACTTACAACGTTCGCTAACTTTTTCATAAGGCTCAGGAATTATACTTATCGAGTGTGAGGTGTTCGCTCCCTTCATCTTTTAAATGAGGCGTCCTCATCGCTGAAACATCTTAAACATACACACAAAAGCTGGCAGCCTTATTCGGGTTTCTTCCGCAAAATAAAGTTTCCACACTGGCCTGTACTAACTACTAACAAATTTAAAAAAATCATAACGTGACCCGTCGTTCCTTTTTCATTAAAAAAACTTAATAACGAAGATCCAAAAACCTAACTACAACTAAAGAACTACTTTGAAATTTAATTTTTAATGAACGATCTTGAAAGAAAGTAGGAAAAGAAGATGATTTGAAGTTGGTCCCATTTAGGAAATCAGACATCAGACGCTATGATAACCGAATCAATAAAGTCACCAGTGTGTATGTTCATCCAGTATTTTAACACTACAATTTAATAAAGGTTTGGAGTGGATCTTATGATGGAGCCGGAAGATAGTCGAAGGAGTTCCTCGACGATTATTTGTATTGTTAAGAGTTTTACACCTAGAAGGATAGTGGCTATCATTAGAGGTCTGATGAAAATTTTATTTGTTTATTGAGAGAGCTCTGTGTGGAATTCGATAAGCACGGTCACACGTCACGTAAAATCGTGATATAAAATAATTTTACGAAAAAAGAATTAACTAAAAAGCAAAAAATAAATCCATTTCGCAGAAAGCTACATATATTTAGATTTAGTTAAACTAAGTGTGTAAGTTTGTTAAATATTTTCATAATATAATTTTAAAGTCATTGCCAAGTAAAACAATAACTGTAAGTGTATGTTATAAGGTTTAAAGATGTTTAGTAACTCGTAAGAATTTACAATTCACTTAGAACGAGAAATACATTGTTTTATAAATAACTTTGGTGTGCCTCTCAGGCTAATTTATATAAAACTAGGATTAGATAGGGTAACAGTTTAAGGTGTGACTTAATAGTTTATTTTTAAACAAGGCTAAACTTTTTGAGCTCTTAACGCTGCAGGGCAAATTGTAATACATATGGATACAAACAGGATGGTTCATTTCCCATAAATGGTTCTAATTTGTATCGTCTTTAAATCATTTTGTTTCCTCAAGTTGTAATAGTCGTTTCGTTTAGCTATTTGAAAGTTTGTTTTCGTAATGCCAGATGTATTTTTTTTCTAATTAGGAGACAAGTATAGTACAGTATTTGAGTTTTTTTATTTTTATTAAGAAGCTTAGTTTTCCGATATAATGTTTTTGTTGCAAATGAGAAAGAATAGTGAAATAAGACCTTGATAATTTTATTTTGAGTTCTTTGCAAACTATTAACGTAGGTTTTTGAGGCTGAGCCCCAGATTTCGATAAGGTAGTGTAAATGTTATTTTAACTAAAGAATTATAAATTAAAATCCGCTCTTTTTGGGTATACATTTATTGGTGTTACGAAGTGCTATTAGTATGGCGAAAAGTTTCCTTTCAACATAGTTAATATGCGCGTTCCAATTAAGTTTTTGATTTTTCATCTAACCATAATCCAAGATACATATTTTTCTTTGCTAGAGAGCTTAATGTTTTGATTCTTAATAGTTAAAGGCAGGTTGGGTATTGGCTTATTTTTTGTTTTAAAAATCATGTAGGAATTTTTGTACGTATTAATTGTGAGGAAGTTAAGTTTAAACCATTTAGTAAATTAAGATCTTTTTGCGCAGTATCGACTATGTAGTGATTTATCAAAGCAAAAGAGACTATTTACTTTTGAACTAAATTGGTTTTTATTTTAGTAACTAAGTCTACTGCAGTTGTTAGGGTGCCTGATTTAGGACGGAAACCATATTGTTGTTTTATAAAAACGTTTTTTTAATTTAGATATTAGCTTAAATGGCCATGTAACACTTTTTCAAAAATGTTTGACATCGTTGGCAGCATTGAAACAGGTCTGTAGATGTTAGGGTCAGTTCTGCTTCCAGATTTAAAAATTGGTGTGACTTTGCGATTTTAGTGAATCCGGGAAGATCAAGGCATTTCTTGAAGCAGTTGCATAGTGGTTCAGAAATTATGTTTTTTATAGATTTTATGACTTTAATAACGTCTAACCCAGCACTAGTGTTATTTTTTAAATAATCGATAATTTTATTTCTTCTGATGGTCTTAATTCGCAAAGTGTTGTTTCATCTGTGTATGTGAATGAACAGTCGGTGAGTGTATGATATTTGTATTGTATGATATTTGTATTGTATGTTCGGAGCCTATTGAGGAGAAAAAAGAGTTAAAGACTTCACATACGGAAAATCCATCTGTGATTGTTTCTGAACCCGCCACCAATTTGGGAGGAACCAATTTATAAAGCTTTTGTTCGCTTGAATTTTAATAAAACGTGTCAATCGGATCCTAGCTACGAAGAGCTAGATTAATCCGAAAACACATTGATATAAAAAGCAATGTTGTGTAATTTATACGTGTCGACTGTCTTCGAGATCTTGTTACGTGCGACGGTAAACAAATAGGTGCGCACTTAATAATCATTAACCGTTTTCAGAAAGACGAATGTGCTGCGCTCGATCGATCGAAACTGTAGACCTTATCGAGCACGGCGCAGGATTGTAAATTCCGTGGACTAAATCTCAAAATTTGAGACGGCGACATAGGTGCCTAGAGGGCGCGAGGGTATTACGCTGGCTTATGGCACTGTATTAATTTTGAACCGTAGTAACTTTAGCGGTGACAGAGCTAGGATACCGAAACATTATTCACTTTGTAACGCAAATGAAACTAGCGTTTAATTTACTGTTATAATTTAGCGAATTCCTAGAGCTCCGCTCCGCTGCCGCTGGCGCTCGAGTCTATCGTCTCTGCGGCCGCTTGCGATATTACGATTTGAGACTTCAGTTCGTTTAATACTTTTATCCGCGGGTCGAGGTAGTCTTTCGCGAGCGTCACGCGAAATGGCAGAAGGGGAAAAAGAAAATCACACGCCGCAGTTTCGCGGGTCGACTCGCTTCGGGAACTACATTACACTTTACATAAAAAACATTGTGTTGAACGACAACGAGGCATCGAGTTCCCCGGCGAAGACATAAGCGAAATTGAATTACACATATTGAAAAAGAAATGTGGAGCTGCTGGGGGGCGTGGTGCGGCCGAGACTCCTCCTCCGGAGCGGCTCGCGCACGGAGCGCGTTCAGTCCGCTTCGCTCTCCGCGGAAGGAGCCAGTGCGGAGTAGCTCGTGCGACGAGACCGTTCCGTCTTCGCGACCAACTTCTCGATTACCAGCGAGGATACTTCGCGATACTTTTTCACGCCCGTAACTCGCAACTCGGTCGGGTTGATGCGCTCGAACAAAAGTCTAACTGGACTTCGAGTGTAGCGAAATGAATTTCGTATTTGAATCGAGGATTCCAGTGTAAACAGTAATGTGTGTGCTCGACCGGACGTAGTAGAAGCGTCGGCGACGATCGAGTATTATAATCATTTTGAACGAGGTAAATTAAAACATTCAATTAAATAAACCACTTTCAACGGTTTAAATCGCGAAATGTATTAGTCGATTTAACGTGACCGCGGCTATTTCAAAGCATCCGAAACGTCGGGCTGTTAAATAAATTGTAAATAAGTTAACTATCAAATTTTAATTTAAACAAGTTCGTAACACATACTAAACCCCCCTAATTTTGCCCAATAGATATATAACAATTACACATTAACTAGGTAATAGGTCAAAGTTTAAAAATGTTCCTTTGCAAATACCACATTACTCGACACCTATCTCCTATTTTTCTAAATGTTATTCGTGTCACTTCAGTTTCTATGAATATTTAAAAATCTAAGAACAATCGGTGATAATATGTAGTAAGTTTTTAATTAAATGTTATAAGTAGTAAACGAGTCGTTTTAGTAGACAGCATCATTTATTTATTTGTTTTGGTCGGAACAGAGTAAAGTTTCAAGTCCACTTTTTATCTGTAAATAATATTCGCGTCCCTATTTTCGATTTCGTGCCCCTCGTGGAGAAAATGGAAGTTCATAATTTTTAATAAAATTTAAAAGCAACTGAAAATTTACTTCGATTAATTGGAAGTATTGCGTCGATTAGGATATAATTTAAATATAAACATTTATACTATGTATTTAGTTAAATACTATTACGCGAGTAGTACTGTACATTTAAATAAAACACTTTAACGGTTTAAAACGCGACATATTAGTTAAACTTATTTGAAAATGATTTTCAAAAAAAAAAAAAAAAAAATTTTTTTTTAAAACTTAAAAATTTTTTTATTTAAATGTATTTAGTTGTTAAGCTAAAACAGGCGAAATGTAAAATAATTAAAATAAAAAATATAAATATAATAATAATAATCACATTTGAAAAGTTTAATATTTTTCACATGAAGGCGCCTTATAATATAAGAATCGAAAATAAATTGAAAAAAATTTCGACTCGGGCAGGACTTGAACCGGCATTGTCAGCGTTCCGTGCTGTAGCTCTACCAATTGAATAGGATTCGGTAGGTCAATGGAGTCGAATTTTTTTTTAATTAATTTTCGATTTTTAAAATAATAATCACAAAAAAAACTGATTCAAGCAGAAATACCTAGTCAAAAGTAGAAAAAAACAAAGTTAAAGAAGTGCTCTATTTCTGCTAGAATTGGGTATTTTATAATAAAAGTTTTATATATTTTAATTTTGCATAATAATAATAATAAATAAATAATTTAAATAAATTTTCGCTAAGAGTATTACTTAATATTCCCTCACTTTATAATATACAAAACAGAGCAATACCGATTCATATTATTTCGCCGATGTAGCACTAGTGACCGATAGAAGCAAACGGGTCTGGAAAAATCGGTTGGTTACTAATTAAACATGTATGGGAAGTAAACTTTTCAAGCCGTCACATTTACAAAATGACTCGCCTTTGTTCGTTCTGAATTTATCATTTTACAGTATTATTTTTCTTTTACATGTGATGTTCTTGGCAGAATGGAATCAAATAATGTTTTCCTATGTGACCTATTATTCTACCATGAAATAAGGTTAACGAGAATTACGAAATAAAATCGAAAAATTTACTTCAGAAGACTTCTTAGATATCTGCTGCTGTATTTTTTACAACCATACGCGCAAACAAAAAACAATTACAATTTTAAATACGAACTACACCACCTCGTCGCCAAAGAGTCAATACATTTTCTAAGTCGTTCATTAAGTTAAAAGCTTCTCAGAGCCTAACAAGAAGCTTCGTCAGTTTTATATAAAATGAGGGCCGAGATAATTCAATATTCCATTCATCGGTGCGAGTTTCTGTTTATACGGAAATTTGCGAGGCTTTTAAAAAGACATACAGCCTTTGCCATTTTGCTTATTTACTTTGGTTCTCTTTCAAGCCGCGTTCCAACCCTTAATCGCAGGCGCGTCGAAAAAATTCATTATTACTATTCAACGTTGTATGGTGTAAGAAGCGGGGAGTGAAAAACCGACGGTCAGGCGCGTCACGAGCGATTAGAAGGAACTCCGTAATAAAGGTAATTTCTTATCTTAATAGTGTGTAAAATAGGGTTAAGTGGATTTGTGGGTAGGTGAGGCTACGTTTCCTGAACTGTGAGTTATTTAAAGACGGCGGCCTATCTGCCGACGCATCCATTACCCCGACAAAGGGTTAGAAACGGCTCGTAAATTATAAGAATGAATGAACGCGCGCTGATTTATATTGAAGTGTTATTTCTCTTTTATTCCTCGCATCCGCGGTAGCACAAAGGGGCTATACGTCGGTTGCGCGTAGAGATTTCACCCGTTCGCGTACTCGAAATCATTTTTAACGCCCGATGGGTCGGCCAAAATATCCGCTAAGCTTAAAACAACAAACGCGCCATGTCACAATCTATTGAAGCAAACACCAATGAAATACATCTCCATTATTCATTGTCGTCGAAATAGGCGAAAATAAAATCGCAGCGTCAGTCGGTGTCCGTCGAAAATCAATAGCGAGCCAATATGTGCCTATCATTTTGACATCTAGAGTTTCGTCCGGCTCGCACCGGGTTATTCCGGGCTATTCCGGGCTACTCCGGGCTATGACGACCGGTTTTTGCGCGACGCGTAACGGCCGCTATTCATTAGACCTTTGTCTCTGTTGACATTCATTACAGAATAACCTATACGACATACCAGCACGAATATAGGCCGTCGGGTATTCATTCGAGGGCGTAACACTTGTTTAACAATTGCGTGGTTCCCATACATAATAGCAACATATATACAATATATATACTGAATGAAAGTCATCTAACTAGCAAGGTAATAACCGACGTCGGGAATTAACTCCGATCTGAACTGAGTTAAGGGATTAGGACGCATTCGCCCCGTCACAATTGTGATAGATCTCTCTAAATCTTGAATCTTGTCTTAACATATACGGAGTCAATATTGAGGCGCGCACAAGTCGCATGATTAAGTGGAATCGAAACTTAGTTCGGGACACATACGATAAGCCTCAGAGAGAATAATAACCACCTGAAGGGATTAGAACAGAATTAGAAAAAGATACACTCGTGCAAAGTCGTCGGGCAAAAGGGAGAAAAGTCGTCGGCGACGTACTAATCACTTCATGCAGCGGCGCGAATGGGGCATCGCGGCCACATGCGGCAGCCGACTGATTACGCCAGCTTATAATTGCTGCTCTCACAAATGAGCCCGAATCGCCGACGCGACGGTATCGGAAATGTTTTCGCTCGATCGTCCATTAATTTGTGTACATTGTCAATTTCAACATTCGTCTGATGAACGCGGCTTCGCCCTGATTTTCGTATTGTAATTTAGAAATGTACCGGCTTTTGATGTCGTCTGTCGCCAAACCTAATTATAGTTAACGCAGAATTTGACTTTGAACTTTTACAGAGAGCCCTTTACTTCGCGACTTCGCTATCTGATTTATTAAATAATGAGGATTGAGAGAGATCATCTTATTCAGAGAAATTATAAGCGTGCACAGATTTTTGTCTGCGTTTACTCTTCAACATAAAGAGTGTCGTTTAACGCGAGTCGAATATCGATCGCGGTTCATAAACGTGAATACGACAATATAAGTGATAACTCTCTAAACTCGAATGTACAAAGCATTCCAAAAATCGCGCACACCGAACGGTCTCAGCAATAAAGACGCAGAATCTTAAGTTCCTTCGCGCGCGAGCTAGAACGAGTCATGCGCGACACCCTAAAGGCGAACTATTTGCAGTGCTCGCAAATTGAAATAATTTAGCGCAACAGTGCGCATAACTCGCGGGTGAGTTATGACCGCGCATCGTAACGCGGCGATAATGTCGCTCGGCGTACGGCGGCGGAAGGGGAGCGCGTAATGCGCCCGGGCGCGTTAATTACGACTTCCGTCCGGCTACCTTACCTGCGCAACGCGACTGAACTGAAGATTATATTCATTTAACGTGTCCGGTAAAGACTGAGAATAAGATGCGTCGTGCCAATAAAGTTGATTCAAATGCACTGAAATTATAAAAAGCAATACAAAACGCAAAACAGAAATCCACCGTGCCCTCCCTGTCTGAATTTACAATATATATTTCTTGAAAACAAGATGTACTTTTTGCTATATTGAAATTGATAAAAGGTATAGTTCGTACATTTGACTCGGTGGCTCGCCGTAATAAGTGCCAAAATGTTGTGATGACGTTGGGTAGCTGTAGCAATAACGGGATATTCGGAAACGCAAGATCTTTGATATGAAATTCTTTCAGAAGCGACCGCACGTAGGACTTCGCACCGCACTCTCATATTTTCGATCGCAGCCTCCGCTCCAAGCTGACTTTGCGAACAAAAATAAGAATAATATTCCAGTATCCCTCCACTGGTGTTTTGTTACTTCGCAGCGAACTTAAGCGTTATATCGAATCATGCTTCTCCACATCTATCGACGCTTTTCCATACTTGTCGTTCTACGATTATTACTTTGGCAACATCAGCTCAAAAAGAAATGTTAGTGACGAAATTTTTCTTTTACAGATAACATCGACGAGTTGGTTTGTGGGCGCCATGATTACGAAACGGATTGGCTTAGCAGACGGTCAAAACAGAAAAGTGACTCGTTGATTCAAGATGGCGAATGCGTCGCGGACGCGGGCCGGAGGACCTCTCTCGCGGCTGTTAATATTAGCTATATTACAGGTTAACTTTATAGGTAAGGATATTTTTAAATACAACTTTTATTAGACGATACCTTTCGCGTAAGGAAATCTGTTTAAAAACGAGACGTGCCATGACAATCTGAACTTGCTAAAAAACGACATTTTCAAAGAGTTGACAAAATTATCTAGAGAAAAACATATAATTACAATTCTTTAATTACAGCCTTAGATAAGCATAATGCATGAAGTATCATAACCTTGATACATTGGAAGTAATTTGAGCTGGCTAGCTAAAGTGAAATACAAGATTATTTTTATAATATATGTATTTTTTCAATTTATTGCTAAAACAGAATGCATTTTAATGTCTCCCACGCCTGTCTGACCAACGCTGTTGCAAAGCATCCGAAAACGTCGGGCCGTAGTCAAAATAATTATCACATAGGTTTAAATAATATATTTCGCGTTTTAAACCCCTAAAGTTTTATTGAAATGTATTTTAATGTTCGACAAAATAACGCCTTGTATTACAATATCGTGCTACAAAAGTTTACAAGCCATTTTGTATATAACAATACAAATTCATATTTGTCACGTGTTTCACATTCAACACGTAAGCAAAGCACTGACTACAGCATAAATTCGTTCAGTGTGATCATTATTTTTATCCGTCCAACTGCCAAGATAGATAGGCGTGTGCCAATTTCTCTTTTAACTGAAATATTTTATTAGCATAGCAGTTAAACTAAAAGTACACCTATCAATTTTCTTTTGTATTCGTATAACGTTATACGTTTGTTGTATACATTTTAAAACTTAAACGAATGCTACTTTGTTTTCCCACTGTATATAAAAATAATAAGTAATGACCGATAACTGTGTACCACGTTAAGGCTAATAAATGAAGTGTTTTTTATGTCGAACCCTATCTCGTAGCAATGGAGACGTAGAACGACGCTATTGTGCTACGCTTGCTACGCGCCGTCTACGACCCATCATCTTTTGTATAGTAATAATATGATGAGACACCGACGAGCTTTCTCGTAGCGACCGTTTCCGTGACTATAATATAAAAGATATTTTCACTTACATTATAGATATTTTACCGTTTCCAAAGGCAATGTATTACTTTTGGGTTCATGGCATCATAAAAATATAATTATAAAAATTCTCCATCATACAAAGTTGAAAAGTAGGTAGAATAGGTATCTTTGTTTAAAATAATTATTCAAATCGAATAGCGCAAAATAATTCCAAAACAAACCGCGTAAACAAGAAACCTCACTTGAAAATAGGGAAATTAAATTAATCTCGTAAAATTTTCACTCGCTACCTTATCTCGTGTCGTATTGTCGTTTTATTGTGCCTGCCCTGAAACCATTAGCGAAAATGTCACAGCGCCGGCATTGTAATGGCGCCCGCGACCCGCCCGCACAATGATGCGGCCGTTCGACCTCGCGTACGCCCTTACCTTTACGCTGTCATACGAATTTGACTCCACAATAAACGGCAACTCGCATTATTTCGAGAATACATTACACGTAATCCCTGGATCTATCCGAATTCAGCGGAGCGGCTCTATAGCTCACCCGAAGGCGCTATGAATGAGTAAACTAACACTTTTACGAGTTCGGCGTCGACGCTACACGTCTAGAATTCTTTGCATACAGTTAGCGAATCACACGCGTTCGCGCAAACATTCCACTCACGTGGCGAGTGGCCGACAAAGGGAAAGGCTCGCATACCTTATTGCCACCTTTTCCAAATCCCTACTTAGGAGTGTGCCAAACACGGAACTCGACATACTAGTATGCAAGACGAGCGACGTCTAAAATCTACGTGATAATTTTTACAGATTTTTCCATTACAGAAGAATACATTACACGAGCTATATACACTAATATCTTAGGAAAATATAAATTATTCCTAAAAAATGCAATCCTTTACTTATTGTGCGAAATGTCTACAGTTTCAGGTAGGATTGTACCCATTCTCTATTGTCACAAACTTTGTTACTGCTGTAAAGGAATACAAGCCTTTAATAATTAGTATAAAGACTCGATCTCTTCTCCTTTCCCCTATTATTATGAAAGTATGCAATATGCAGTATGTTAGGGACGAGAGCGAGCAAACAAAAAGTCAGTAACGTGTTTGAAAAGTTTCCTCTAGCAATTCAATTTTGTAACAAACATAAGCATCGACAACATCTACCTCCTAAAGGAGGCCTCCTTTTCATTAGAATGTCATCGCGGTTGTCCCGCAATTAATCAGGGAGCCAATGAGCCGCGCTCGGACATATCTGATGAGCGAGTCTTCCCTAGCGACCGCGACTTGCCGAAGAACGAAAGTCATTTAGAAAAGTGTTCCTTATGTAATGCGCTGCACGGCGGCGAGTTCGATGAACTTTTAATTTCACGAAGGGGATGCACGAAGACAGACGCGGAAACAAAGCTTGTATTTATGACTGTGATCTTATTTGCATGCGATCCAGGGCGTAGTCGCCCCAGTCGCCCCGGCCTCGCCGCGTCTCACTGCTTTCGCCATATTTATAGAATATCTACTCATAAACATGTAGATCGCGAATGGGACGCGTTTTTATGTTAAAGCGAGGAAAGGGGGCCTATTTTATTTATTGCCCACTTGGCCTAGCGCGTGTCTGTGAAAGATTTGGTGAAATGGCATAAGGCTTAAGAATTAGCGCCCAAAGCACTCCATATGTTCGTGTTGCAAAAAAATTAAAGATTCATAAATTACTGTTTAACATTACACATCACCCGGTCCCCGAAGGCGACAAGGATATTCAACGCCGTTATTGCGTTTACAAAGCAAATGAAATAATTATTGTATTCCGCAGTCGATCGTGATTAAAGTGAAACAAAGGGTGAAGTTACGCGTCGTGACAACGAAATAAAATCAATTTTAGACAATATAAAGTGGCTCATATGATACCGTCACATTCAGCTGCTTGAAAATGTTTACTCGGAAAAACGAAAAACATAAAGCTATGGTCTCCGTGAAAAATGAAGGAATTTTTAATAATCTTCTAAAGGAAAAAAACGCAGCTTAAAAACCTACCAAGAAATGTGGGGCTCTTAAAAATTTCAGACGCGTTAACTTTTTTCTTAACAACCTCCTAGGCGGAGCCAAGTTTATACAAATAATCTGAAAAATAGTTAAACGTGCCGGCGCGAACGCCTCGAAACATATTTTGCGTCAGTCTGTTGCTTTTTAATACTTTATCCGCTTTTAAACTCAGTGTTAAGTACATTTAAGACTTGCCGGCGATGTTCTTTCAATTTATAAGCACTTGCAGAGTCGGTATTTTTTGGCGCTGTTCGACCTAAAGGTTGCATTGATAAGTTTCCCAAGTCGGATATCGCGCGTACGCAGTTGACACATTACGGATGAGTGTGGGTAATTAAAAACGAGACCGTCGTCACTTGTCCACCCGTCCGGCGTGGCCTATCTGTCTCGCGCCACCCGGCGTCTCTTGTTTGTCCAACCGACTTGTAACCGGAAGGTTCGCTGCATTTTTGGTTCGACTCTTTTTTTTTATAGCGACGTTTATAGCGCTAATAAAGGGCGAAATGTTGCGAACGAGGTTATGAGATGTAAAATTGTTATGGAATTGGCTCTGGAAGTATAAAACGATATCTTGAGTTCTAACGATGGAGGTTTGTATCTATCATCTTTGGCGCAATAAGCTCTCCGATTGTTCGATAGTAGAAGTACTTAATTTGAGTAAATTAAGTGAATTTTATGTATCTGCCAAAATGTACCGTGTAATGCAATGTGTGTAAAAGATAGTAACGTAAAACATTCTATACACACATATATTATAAATCAATCAATGATTACGCAAACTTGATACAACCGTTTTGTTTTGTAAAAAAAATTAAACGTCCTCCCTTTTAAATCAGCATTTTGTATGCAGCTATCTTTATCATGAACATCATTCGCTCGTCTTTAGATATATCTTTACACGGATTACATTGTAGGAAATGCCCGAACCCTCTCGTGGTTTTTACTCCTTAGTCAAGGGCTCAAACGAGCTAACCGTTTAAAAATGTGTCCACTGAGGGATGTAGCTTAAAATGGAAAACTAAGTTAGAATCAACTATTCTTAATAAATTAAACGTACATATTATATGAAACGATATTATTATATACTTACTTATTATAAACGATATATTAACATACTTATTATATTAAACGATATTATTATTTTTATAGTCGTTTAAAACGCAACGTTGAAAATAATTGAAAAGAGATGACACCCTCGTACCTTTACACTTCTAACGAATGCAAAGCGAGCGTTGTCGAACATTTAAGTATAAAAACTTGTAAAGAGCAAGACTCAAAGAAACCTCGTAATAGCAAATTTTAAGCTTTGTCTAAGTTGGCACCATTTCACGCATCAACTTTCGGTTGACGAAATTTATTCATGACGTGATCCCTTGTAAATACATTCGGGAGTTTATTGTCGTAATGAATGTGATATGCTTCATGAAAACGGACTTATCTTCTCATTATATTTATAATAGATATGTATCGTCTCAGTTTCTGCTGCCTCGCATTGTTTAATGTGGTAAAAGTGTAATAAGTAAGTTTATTTGCCGCCCAATGTTACGTTTTATGTTATTTGACGATTTTCAAATTGAACTCTCGATCATGATCATTAGTCGAGGTGCATTCTTCGAAATCAGATATTTTTACTAAATTAAAACCCTGAAATAACACTGGAGACCGCGATGGATGTACCCAAGAGCAAGAAGTGAACTCGAAACTTATGGAAAGCGCCATACATTAAGTACACTATTAAAAAGTTTTAATATGTTTTAAGAGATTTATCCCCGAAGAACATGTCCTATCAAAATATCTCGGGCCACACGTTATGTCGGCACATTCTTCTCCTAAATTGAAATTCTCGAACGCTCTGCCTTCGAGCGGGACGGGGTCAGGAGCCAAAAGACAAATAGACCGTCGATTAATGCATCGAATAATACACAAATTTCACCACAAGGTCGTGCGTTATCGTTAAAACACAATCCGT